GAGCTGTTTGGTGACCCACCTGGGGCGGGGCGGGGCAGGGCAGGGGTGATCTGGATCTGGGTCGAACGGTGCTGAGCAGCTGGAGAACAGAGAAGGCAAGCCAGCCCCCAATTGCCCTCCGCCTCGGCTAAGAAGAGAGAGGCTGTGAAGTGGGCTGGGCAGAAAGGCTGAGCTCACCTATGTGTTCAGAGGATATATTGACATCACTGCAGGCTCTTACAAACAAGAAACGAGAGCACGGACCTTCAGGAAGGTCACGGGGCAGATCGGATTTTAACCGCAACTCGACATGCCTGGGCGTCCCCCGATAATCTTTCACACTCCTTAGTTAAGAACCTAACTACTTCTGCCTTAACAACATTTAAACATTCTGCATTCACTGCCCTTTTTGAGGGGGAGGTGCCAGTGTCAGACAAAGTCAGAAATCATACAACACCAGGATACAGTCCAACAGGTTCTACCTGAAAACGCAAGCTTTTGGAGCACTGCTCCTTCATCAGGTGCAGTCAGTTTGGAGCTGCGCTCCGAAAGCTTGCGTTTTCAGGTAAAACCTGTTGGACTGGAACCTGGTGTCGTGTGATTTCTGACTTGGTCCTTTTTGAGGAAGGAAATTGCAAAGACATACACAACCCTGAGAGAAACAGACGTTTTCTTACCTCAGTTTTAAATGGACAAACGCTTGTTTTTAACAGAGGCTCCTCCTAGTTCCAGATTCTGTCAGGAAACATCCTTTCCACAGCCACCTGGTCAAACCCCTCAGGATCAATTGCAATCAGCTTGGACCCTCCTGAATTCTACCGGGCTCAGCCTGTCCAGCTATTCCTCATCAAGCAATCGGCCATTAGTCTGGTAAAACTTTTCCCTGAACGGCTTCCAGCACACGGCCACCTTGTCGCTGTGGGTTGTCCTTTTTGCATTTGAACTGATGACACGAGGCTGGAGCACTCCAGATCCTGTCACCTGCAAAATGCAGAAAGCAGCAGGCACAGAGCTCCCTAATATAAAGGTAATGCACATTCCAGTCGCTCTCCACTGCGCTGTCTCTGGGTATGACCGAGGGAGATTCTCCTCGCTATCTCCAACGGTGGTAAACTCGTGGCAGAATCAGTGCCTGTCTGACCTTACACAGTTTCGGTGCGACTGTGTGATAATTCTACTCGTCACTCAATTGAAACACTACAGAAAACATGTTGGTATTTAATGTGAAAGATGCCAGATGTTTTTATTCCGTAATAAATAATAACGTACAATAAACGTATAACAGGACAAACAGAAGATCAGCTCTTTCTGGTGTGTATGTAACAATGTACTGTGTACAAACTGGCTGTGTGGTTTCTATGTGGAATAGCACTCCTTACATTTCTGAAATCCAGCTCTGGCTGCGGGTTGCATTATCTCCCCTGACAACGCTCATTTTCAGAGAATGATAGAATTCCTACAGCATGCAGAGAGACCATTCGGCCCACTGAATCTGCACCGACCCTCCAAAGAGTATCCCACATAGACCTAGGCTTCCTCCTTATCCCCATAACCCCACATTTACCATGGCTAGTCTGCACATCCCTGGGCACTATGGGACAATTTCCCACAGCCAATCCACCCTAACCTGCACATCCCTGGGCACTATGGGACAATTTCCCATGGCCAGTCCACCCTAACCTGCACATCCCTGGGCACTATGGGACAATTTCCCATGGCCAGTCCACCCTAACCTGCACATCCCTGGGCACTACGGGACCTGTATACCTTTGGACTGTGGGAGGAAACCGGAGCATCCGAAGGAATCCCACGCAGACACGGGGAGAACGTGCCAACTCCACACAGACAGTCGCCTGAGGGTGGGATCGAACATGGGTCCTTGGTGCTGTGAGGCAGCAGTGTTAACCACTGAACCTTTGATTTAGTCCCCAGCCAGGTCTTGCCCATCTTTTTAATTGTTTGATCTTGTCACACTGCCCCCAGGGCGAGTAGGGTGGGTAATTTGGGATGGAATGAGACGGGGCTGTTTTTCTAACGGAGACAAAACTCTGCGTTTGACTCTCACTGGGCAGAGGTGTGGGTGGGCGTTGGAGAATTCCTGATGTTGCCCCCCTTGCCCACGCACGGAGGGGAGACGGGTCACAGAATGACAGAAGGGTAGAGTGCAGGAGGAGGCCCCTCTGCCCGTTGTGTCGGTGCTAGCCAGCTCATCATCGAGTGCTGTTGGCCAGCTTGTTGAGGGCCTGCGAGAGGGCGGTCACAGTGTCGAGGATCCTCTGGCGGTCACCCTGTGCCAGCCGGTCCCCACAGCGCTGGGTGAAGCGATCGGGGTGCCACATAGCCTGCTGCCCCCTCAGGTACCGGCGGTAGGTGCCTGGATCTGAGCGCTCCGCCCCGTGCAGGATCACCGCCACCATCTCCTCCACCGTGCCCCCGGGCATGGGCCACGGGATATCCCCGTAGGTCAGGGGCCGAGAGCCGGCAGAGGCCCGCTCAAAGACGTCGGTGCAAGCGCGCTCATACTGCTCTTTGTGGCTGCGTGCCCGCTCCTCCTGGCGCCTGTGTGCCCGCTCCAGGTAACGCCGGTGTTCTGACTCCAGCTTCTCCTTCTCCTTGCCAGCCTCCTCCCTCTCCGGCGCTCGCTGTCTGCTCCTGGTGCCTGCTCCTCGGGACCTCTTGGCTGCGTACTCCCTCGCCAGGCGCTCAGCCCAGGCATCGTACGTCTGAGGCTCGGCGTCGCCCATGGACAGGTCCTCTGGAAAGGGAGAACCGGTGGGGTGTCAGCACCAGGCAGCCTCCACTGTGTCCACCCGTTTCCCCCTCCGCCCCACACCCCAACATCTCTCCATTTCTAGTGCTCACTGCCAAGGCCTGGGCCTTGTCACCTCCCCACCACCCACGCCCCCCCCCCCCCCCCCCCCCCGGCCCACGCCCACCACTCTAATGTCACATCCCCACCCCACCCCACCCAACCCAACTGAAGAAGAGCCGATACCAACCTGCAGGGCCGAGTGGATCCAACACAGAAGGAGGACAACAGGAGTAAGCAATGGCAGGTATGGAGCATGTACACCCGGGATGTGGGAAGGTTCGGTTCGGGAGATGCTCAGAGGTCAGCGCTGAACTGACCACCCCCCCACCCCAGCCTGGCACAGGCCCATCAGCGAGCGGACAGGAATTGCCGGGAATAAATATACTCAGCAGTCAGGCTGGGGTGGGGTGGTGCGGGAGGCAGAAACCAAGTCATCGTTTGGAGCCTGCGGAGAGCTCCGTAACCTGTAACATTTACTCCCTTCCCCTCCGTCTCCCCCACAGGGTGACAGCATCCAGCCTTTCCTGCTGTGTTTTTGCAGCGTCAGCTGCTGTGGAGCTTGGGTGACGTTTTGAGAAAGGAGGACAGATCATGGTTTTATTATTCTTTAATTTGCTGGGGTCACGTGGACCCCCCTCCTTGAGAATGGCCGCTTACACCTGCTAGTGACCTTCTACGTAGAATGGTAGCTGAGAAATCCAACAGGGAGACTGGTGAGGATGTGGAACTGGCCTGGGGAGTGAGGGTGGTGGGGGAGACTGTCAGGAAACACACAATAAACACATGGGGAAGGCAGTGACAGGGGGTGGTGCTGGCTGGGTGAGATGATGGGTGCTCGAAGGAAGTACAGCCCATAGACTCCACAGCAGACCCTGTGGACAGTGAATATTTGGTAAATCTACAACAATGGGGGATGGGCTAAGGGCACCCACATCTCTGGGATGCTACATTACTCCAGGGCACAGTGAGTAACATCTCTGGGATGCTACATTACTCCAGGGCACAGTGAGTAACATCTCTGGGATGTTACATTACTCCAGGGCACAGTGAGTAACATCTCTGTCTCAGCTTCATGTGGTAACCCCCTAGTCCTGAAGGCACCTTTCCAACAGAGCCAGGCAGATTGATTATCACCTTTGGAATCGCCTCTGAAACAGGGGAAGGGATTCCTAGTGATGCACATGATGGAAGGGAAGCTGGAGGCCCTGGCAGTGCTGTCCCTCGCAGACAGACAGGGCGGTGAAGAAGGTTTTTAGTACGCTTTCCTTTAGTGGTCAGTACATTGAGTATAGGAGTTAGGATGGTCATGTTGGGGTTGTACAGGACATTGGTTAGGGCCACTTTTGGAATATTGTGTTCAGTTCTGGTCTCCCTGCTATAGGAAGGATGTTGTGAAACTTGAAAGGGTTCAGAAAAGATTTACAAGGATGTTGCTGGGGTTGGAGGGTTTGAGCTGCAGGGAGAGGCTGAATAGGCTGGGGCTATTTTCCCTGGAGCGTCGGAGGCTGAGGGGTGACCTTATGGAGGTTTATAAAATCATGAGGGGCATGGATAGGGTGAATAGACAAGGTCTTTTCCCCAGGGTGGGGGAATCCAAACTAGAGGGGCATGGGTTTAAGGTGAGAGGGGAAAGATTTAAAAGGGACCTAAGGGGCAACTTTTTCACACAGAGGGTGGTCCATGTATGGAATGAGCTGCCAGGGGAAGTGGTGGAGGCTGGTACAATTACAACATTTAAAAGGCATCTGGATGGGTATATGAATAGGGAGGGTTTAGAGGGATAGGGGTCAAATGCTGGCAAATGAGACTGGATTTATTTAGGATCTCTGGTCGATATGGACGAGTTGGACTGTATGCTGTATGACTCTGACTGTGCATCACAGTGTGTTCCTGAGCCTTTCCTATCACCGTTCCAATCTCCTGACCTTCATAGCGCCCACATTCGGTGTAGAATTCAGCCTCATATTCAGCAAAGAGCTTCTGGTACCACTCCCTGTCAGCTCGATCCTTCGCTGTATCATTCTCTTCCTTGGCTCCTGGCTGTCGCTGTGATGTTGTAAAGAAACAGTTAGCCAGGGTCGACTTTCTCAATCGCCGGACAATCGACACATGCTCGCTGCACTGTCAATGTAAATATTTCCCCCTATCCCCAGCTGCTGGTGTGCAATTGTCAGCGCTGAGGGTGAAAATTTGCTGCAAGAACTGTAGACCCTGCTGTAAAGTGTGTGTTTGACATGTATGACAAGGGTGTCACTTGCCTGTGTTTTAGACACCCTTCTACACCCGGGATTAACTGGCAGCAGTGTGCAGGCTCGCATGGTTGAGCAATGTGGCAGCACAGCACTGGTCTAGTGACCCCGAGACCGGGATTAAAGGAGGCAGCTCAAATCCCACAGCAGCAGCTGGGCATTGGGGGGGGGAAACAGAAAACATAAGCAGCTGAGTTATTGATGGGTTTCCATACTTTAGGGAAGGAAACCTGCCACTCTTACCCTGCCTGGGCAACATGTGACTCCAGACCCACAGCAATGGAGTCGACTCTTAACTGGGGATTAATCAGGAATGGACAATAAATGCTGGCCGAACCAGCGATTCCTGCACCTCATACGTAAGCAAAGGACTGGGTTGGGGAAAATTACTGCAGGTGCTGGAAACAACACATACCGGAGATCACAGCGGATCAGACTGCATCCATGGAGAGAGAGAGAGAGCAAGCTCACGTTTGGAGTCTAGATGACTCTTGGTTGGGTTTTGCAATGTTCACACTTGTTAAAAAAGCTTAGTGCACATTTCCCTCATTACACGCTAAATTGCCCGTAGTGTTCAGGGATGTGTAGATTGGGTGGGTTATAGGGGGATGGGTCAGGGTGGGATGCTCTGAGGGTCGGTGTGGACTTGTTGGGCCGAATGGCCTGTTTCCACCCTGTAGGGATTCTATGATTCTATGGAAACGGTAACCTGGATATTTATGAATTGAGTCAGAGATAGTGGGAACTGCCGATGCTGGAGAATCTGAGATAACAAGGTGTACAGCTGGATGAACACAGCAGGCCAAGCAGCACCAGAGGAGCAGGAAAGCTGACGTTTCGGGTCTGGACCCTTCTTCAGGAAATTGATGAATTATTTATGAATTGAGTCAGGGAACTGATTGGTGGGATGTTGTTGTCACAGCTTGCCTGGGAATTGGGAACACCATCCGTCACCATCCTGACTGGGAAATATATCTCCGTTCCTTCAACAACGCTGAGTCCAAGTCCTGCAGCTGTTTGAGAAGGTAACGCGCCACCAACTTCTCAAGGAGCAGGCAGAAAATGCTGACCGAGTCGGTGGTACACACGTCCCACTAACAAATAATTAACATAAACCAGAGACAGGAGGCTGGCTTTCCCCAGTGAATCTAACAACCGATGGTTCAGAAGGTCAAAGGCTCAGAACCAGTTCCTCCTGAACGAAAATACTCAAAACCCAAATGGTGCTGGAACGTTGCCAATTTGGAGTGGAGCAATGGGGAAGCCTGGATGTCACAGTTACCTGTTGCGTCTTCATTGACCTGAGCAGGTCTTCTGGAGTGAGTCCGTCCTCATTGAGCACACTCATAGCCGCTGGGCAAGCCCTCCTGAGAGGTATGACCAGATCTTCGTAAACTAGAGAGAAGCAGAGTGGCTGCAGTTAGGCACAAGAGCTCCTCATCAAGATATGGCTCACAGGCAAGCACCTGCTTCCAGCCCTTATAACAGTCAAAGGCAGACTGGAGGCTAAACCAGCAGCTAGCCAAACGTACCTGATAGGGACAGTGTAAAAACAGCTTCACACTATATTTAACCCCGTGTTGTCGCTGCCCTGGGAGTGTTTGATGGGTGGGGGGGAACAGTGTAGAGGAAGCTTTACTCTGTATCTAACCCTGTGCTGTCCCTCTCCTGGGAGTGTTTGATGCGGGGGGGGGATCATCGTAGAGGAAGCTTCACTCTGTATGTAACCCTGTGCTGTCCCTGTCCTGGGAGTGTTTGATGGGGGGGAACATTGTAGAGGAAGCTTCACTCTGTATGTAACCCTGTGCTGTCCCTGTCCTGGGAGTGTTTGATGGGGGGGAATACTGTAGAGAGAGCTTTACTCTGTATGTAACCCTGTGCTGTGCTGTTCCTGTCCTGGGAGTGTTCGACAGAGACACTGTTGAGGGAGCTGTACTTTCCCTTGTAAAGAGTAGAGGGAACTTTACCCTTTCTATTTTGCGCTGTACCCGTTGGCCCTGATGGTGATCTTGTGACGTGCTGCCTTTGCCTGTGCCTTCAGTAAAACCCGAGCCAGGAGGGGAGCCTGCCACTGACCTTTGCCTCCTTTCTTCACCGCCTGGTGGGCAGCCAGGTGCAGCGGGGTGTTCCCCCTCCGGTCCTGGAGCAAAGGGTCTGCTCCGTGTTTCAGGAGCAGCCTCGCGGCGGCATCATCTCGGTGGGCGCAGGCCACGTGCAGCGGGCTGCGGCCCTTGTGCCCCGTGAACGTCACCGACAGGCCGCGGTGCTTGCGTAGGTACGACTTCAACTTCAGCACATTCCCGTCCTCCACGTAGCGCAGCAACCTCTCCTGCTTCCGGGAAACCATGGCGGCAGCGGCAGTGATCCTGGGCGTTAGAACAAATAAAAGGTCAATAAGGCTCCTCGTGGAGCGGGCCGCACGGCGCTAACGACCAGAAACGGGCTCCAGGCAAAACGAGAGAAAGCACGCACATGGTTTGCTTGCGAGGGGAGGAACAGTCCTCCCAGCGGGCTCGAGAATCTCCTTATTCCCTCATGTTTTTAATATCCAGAAACTTCTCTCTGGAACGTACTCAATGACTGACCCACTGAGTCTTTGGAATTCCTGGCCACAGAGAGCTGTGAGGGCAGGGTCCATGTGTACATTTAGTTGGGGAATTGAGGGGAAAGGGCTGGATAGTGGATGTGAGGAATGGCAGGGTAGGCTCAAGGGGCAGAATGGCCTACTCCTGATCCTTTTTCGTATGGTTAAAAACCCAAGGACTCACCAGCCTCTGTGTAAACAAGAATCAGGAGTAATCTCAGAATAAGGGGTCGCCCATTGGAGACAGAGATGGGGAGAAATTTCTTCTCTCCAAGGGGAGTGAATCTGTGGAATTCTTTCCCGCAGTGTGCTGTCGGGGCTGGGTCATTCAGTACATTCAAGTATGATCAGAGAGACGTTTCATCAGCAAGAGAAGTGAGGGGAAAAGGTAGGAAAGTGGGGTTGAGGATGATCAGAGCAGCCATAATCTTACTGAATGGTGGAGCAGACTCGATGGGCTGAATGGCCTACTCCTGCTCCTATTTCTTACGGTCACACTGGACTCGTGAAAGATGGAGTTTTCTGTGAAAACCCTCTCTCTCAGCTCGCTCTCTCCCAACTAAAATGCATAAAAAACCAGGTGCTTTTGCTTGTAGGGGAGGTGATGGCCTAGTGGTATTATCACGAGAGACCCAGATAACGTTCTGGGGACCCGAGTTCGAATCCCACCACAGCAGATGGTGGAATTTGAATTCAATAAAACATCTGGAATTAATGGTTGGCAGACTGAAGGGTAAACCAGCAGCCAGCCAAATAGAACAAAGAACAAAGAAAATTACAGCACAGGAACAGGCCCTTCGGCCCTCCAAGCCTGCACTGATCCAGATCCTCTATCTAAACCTGTCGTCTATTTTCCAAGGATCTGTATTCCTCTGCTCCCTGCCCATTCATGTACCTGTCTAGATACACCTTAAATGACGCTATCGTGCCTGCCTCTACCACCTCCGCTGGCAACGCGTTCCAGGCACCCACCACCCTTCCCATGCATATCTCCCTTAAACTTTTCCCCTCTCACGTTGAAATCGTGACCCCTAGAAATTGAGTCCCCCACTCTGGGAAAAAGCTTCTTGCTATCCACCCTGTCTAAACCTCTCATGATTTTGTAGACCTCAATCAGGTCCCCCCTCAACCTCCGTCTTTCTAATGTAAATAATCCTAATCTACTCAACCTCTCTTCATAGTTAGCGCCCTCCATACCAGGCAACATCCTGGTGAACCTCCTCTGCACCCTCTCCAAAGCATCCACATCCTTTTGGTAATGTGGCGACCAGAACTGTATGCAGTATTCCAAATGTGGTCGAACCAAAGTCCTATACAACTGTAACATGACCTGCCAACTCTTGTACTCAGTACCCCGTCCGATGAATGAAAGCATGCCGTATGCCTTCTTGACCACTCTATCCACCTGCGTTGCCACCTTCAGGGTACAGTGGACCTGAACACCCAGATCTCTCTGTGCATCAATTTTCCCCAGGGCTTTTCCATTTACCACATAGTTCGCTCTTGAATTGGATCTTCCAAAATGCATCACCTCACATTTACCTGGATTGAACTCCATCTGCCATTTCTCCGCCCAACTCTCCAATCTATCTATATTCTGCTGCATTCTCCGACAGTCCCCTTCACTATCTGCTACTCCACCAATCTTAGTGTCATCTGCAAACTTGTTAATCAGACCATCTATACCTTCCTCCAGATCATTTATGTATATCACAAACAACAGTGATCCCAACAAGGATCCCTGTGGAACACCACTGGTCACAGTTCTCCATTTTGAGAAACTCCCTTCCACTACAAATGTACCTGATAGGGACAATGTAGAGACAGCTTTACTCTGTATCTAACCCCATGCTGTAGCTGTCCCAGGAGTGTTTACTGGGGGGTGACTGTGAATCCATTGTCAATTGTTGGGAAAAACCCATCTGGTTCACTAATGCCCTTTAAGGAAGGAAACTGCCACCCTTACCTAGTCTGGCCTACGTGTGACTCCAGACCCACAGCGAAGTGGTTGACTCTTAACTGCCCTCTGGGCAATTAGGGATGGACAATAAATATGACTCAGCCAGCAACACCCACATTCAATGAATAAAACAAATTTTAAAAACCACGCAACAGCAAAATACTAAAATGCCAAAGAAACAAAACCCGAAAGTGCTTGGGAAACTCACTTTCCGTTTCTATTTTAGCTTCAACTATACAACTTCCAAGAAATATCTTCAAAATAAAACCAAAAAAAATCCCAAAGCCTTTTGAGTGATCTATTTACAGAAGGGGAAAGCCCAGATATCACTTCTGCATTACGGATGGACCAATCCTTCAGACCCAGGGCACTCAAAATTAACCTCAACAATGGAAATGCGTTCATACCAACATCTGATTGTTTCTAAGGGGTGATGGGTGGATGCTGTGTGGAGTATGATCAGATTATTAATCCTGGTTTTCCAATGCCTCCGTGGCACCTCCCCTCATTCTGTAATTGCCTCCAGGCTCACAACCCTCCAAATGCGCGGTCCTCTCAGCCTGATCTGTTGGTCATTCTCACACAGCACCACACCACCGTCGGTGGGCATGCCTTCAGATTCCCAGGCAGCGAACTCTAGCTTTGGAATTGCATTTTCCTTGCCTTCCCACCTTACTTTCCTCATCCCAAACCTGCCTCTCTCACCAAACTTCCATCATTGTAATCTAATTTCTCCTTACATGGCAAAGTGACACAGCTTGGTTTCATCTGCTTCCCCCAAATACCCAGGCAGTCCACCAGAACCGAGGGTAACTTGTTTCAATTGATTCCTAGGTGACGGAGTCGTCAGTCCCACATTCAGCTGTTTTTACACAGTCTGACCTACACAGAGGGAAACCAGACTCACAGCCAATTGTTTTGGAGGGAGGTGGCACAGTTAACACTGTAATGGCCCAGACTGAAGTCAATGGGAATTGGGGGGGTGAATGGTCTGCAGGTTGGAGTCATATCTAGCACATAGGAAGATGGTCGTGGTTGTTGGGGGTCAGTCATCCCAGCTCCAGGACATCTCTGCAGGAGTTCCTCAGGGTAGTGTCCGAGGCCCAACCATCTTCAGCTGCTTCATCAATGTCCTTCCGTCCACTGAAAGGTCAGAATTGGGGATGTTCGCCAATGATTGCACAATGTTCAGCACCATTCACAACTCCTCAGATACTGAAGCAGTCCATGTTCAGGTGCAACAAGATCTGGACAATATCCAGGCTTGGGCTGACAAGTGGCAAGTGACATTCACGCCACACAAATGCCAGGCTATGGCCATCTCGAACAAGAGACAATCTAACCACCGCCCCTTGACATTCAATGGTGTTACCATCACTGAATCCCCCACTGTCAACACCCTGGGGGTTATCATTGACCAGAAACTCAACTGGATTCACCATATAAATGCAGTGTCTACCAGAGCAGGCCAGAAGCTGGGAATACTGCGGTGAGTAACTCCCCTCCTGACTCCTCAAAGCCTGTCCCACCATCTACAAGGCACAAGGCAGGAGTGTGATGGAATACTTTGCCCTAGATGGGTGCAGCTTCAAAAAGAAGCTCAACACCAGCTTTATTGGCACCATATTCATAAACAAAAAAGGTAAGGTGATGGCCTAATGGTATCATTGCGAGACTACTAATCCAGAGATCCAGGTAATACTCTGGGGATGCACATTTGAATCCTGCCATGGCAGATGGTGGAATTTAAATCCAATAAAAATCTAGAATCAGGAGTCAAATGATGACCATGAATCCATTGCCAATTGTCAGAAAAGCCCATCTGGTTCACTAATGCCCTTTAGGGAAGGAAACTGCCATCCTTACCTAGTCTGGCCGTCATGTGAGTCCAGACCCACAGCAATGTGGGTGACTCTTAGCTGCCCTCTGGGCAATTAGGGATGGGAAATAAATGCTGCCTAGGCAGCGACACCCACATCCCATGACTGACCAGGAAACGGTTCCTGTCTGGGGAGAGGTGTACATAGAAGGGGATCAGTCTAGGGAGGGGTAACCTGAAGTGCGTCATGCTGGAGTTGGGAGAGGAGTGACTGGAAGTATGTCATGCCTGAGCAGGGTAGGCAAACAGGAAACTGGAAGAACACAGCAAGCCAGGCAGCATCTGGAGGAAAGGAGCAGTCAATGTTTCAGTCATTACCCTTCTTCAGGACTGTGGGGGTAGGGGGAGCTGCAGATAAAATGGGGGCAGGGGGTGGAGGTGGAACGGTGGTGATAGGGAACACTGGTAGCAGGTATGACTTGGTTGGTCCATCAGACCATAAGACAGAGGAGCAGAAATCGGGCCATTCAACCCATTGAGTCTGCTCCACCATTCAATCATGGCTGATAGGTTTGTCAACCCCATTCTCCCCCATCTCCCTGTAACCCTTGATCTCCTTGACAATCAAGAACCTATCCATCTCAGTCTTAAATATACTCAATGACCTGGTCTCCACAGCCTTCTGTGGCAGTGAATTCCATAGATTTACCACTCTCTGGCTGAAGTAGTTTCTCCTTATCTACGATCTAAAGGGTCTTCCCTTTACTCCAAGGCTGTGCCCTCGGGTCCTAGACTCTCCTACCAATGGAAGTATCTTCCCAACATCCACTCTGTCCAGTTTCAATTAGATTCCCCCCTCATCCTTCTAAACTCCATCAAGTGTAGACCCAGAGTCCTCAAACGTTCCTCATATATTAAGCTTTTCATCCCTGGTACCATTCTTGTGAACGTCCTCTGAACTCACTCCAGGGCCAGTACATCTTTCCTGAGATATGGG